TTGTGTGATCTTTGATGTTCACTCACTTAGCACACGCATCTTTTGGATTAAAACTAAATCGAGCAGCCTGTGTGAAATGCGCTAGGCTGTAGGCTACTATTCTGCATCAGTACAAATACGTGCACGCGTTGCGCGTGTTTTGCTTGCTTGAGTGTTTCTGCATTATAAGAGTGGCTTTGGAATATAAATCTCAGCATGTTTCAGATGAAAAAAAAACGTGACTTCTATTTCTGAAAATATCACAGTTAGGAGATTTATAGCGAGTGGTTCCCTGCATTATTACAGCAAAGCGCGTGATTACAGTACTGAGCTGCTGCAATGGAGCAGCTCTAATGCTATTCAATTAAAGATGATGGAGGCTACCATAGAGAGAGAAAAAATGAACAGTGAAAGTAACAAAAACATTGGTAAAGTAAACAAAGTAGAAAACATATGATTGCACTTTATTTGACAGTATGTGCACTTACCTGTACCTTCAGTGTACTTACCTAAGAAACTACTGTAATATAAGATAACTACATGGCTAGATTTAGGTTTAGGTTAGGTAGGTTCAGGGTTGTAACTATACCATAACAGGTATCTAGTATGTACATGTGGAACAGGACTGTAAAATAAAGTGCGACCAAACATTTTTGGAAAACTACAGTATTTCCACTCAGAAAGAGCTGAATGATGGTACAGCTCAGTAGTGCGTGTGATGATGTCACTGTGTGGATCTGCATGTGTCCGTCACAGGAAGTCGTGCACAGGAAGTGCTCAGGCACTCATTGTCCATGTCAGCCTGTGTTTCCTGTCAGAAACACACGAGACACACACAGTGAACCTCAGCCGCACGTCTCAGCTCCACCTGCCGAGCTCACACTGCAGGACTCTCTGGGGCAGCATTCAGTGGCCGCTGTGTTCACATTGCACGATGGATCGCGACAGGAGCTTGCACACTCGCAGGGCTAAAATCAAGCAGTGTGAGCTCTGCATCAGCTGTGATGTTAGTTCATACATCAGTGTTTGATGGTTAAAGAGCTCGTCTGTGAGTGTGTGATCAGAGCTCGGTGTGTGTGTTGATCTGGATGTGTGTGTTTTCAGAGCAAGGACTGGAGGAGATGAGGAAGATCCTGCTGCTGCTGCTGGGCTGTGCTGTACAGGTGACACACACTCACACAAACACACACACACTCTCACACAATCACACATACACACACACACACACACTCAAACACACACACACACACTCTCACACAATCACACATACACACACACACACACACTCAAACA